GGTTCCTCGTGGGGGGGGGGGGTCCTCGGGGGTCCCTGCTGCGACTGGACCTGCATGGCTTTGCGTCGCATTGCTTTGCATCGCTTTGCTCTGCATCGCTGGGAGTTGCAGTGCGTCTCCTTGATAAACATTACTGTTCGCCGATACGTGTTGGTACGATTTGTTTTGCACTGTTTGCCTGCATTGCGCGGCGTTACCGCGCGCTGCGTTGCTAGGCATGGTTGTCCGCTGCTTAGCATTGTCTTGCGTCGCTTTACCGTGCACGCGATGCTGTGCACGACTCTGTCACCCTACGCACTGCTGTGCAATGCTGGAACTCGTTTGAGGTGACGCACTGCCCTTTTCAGTCGCATCGTTGTTCATGACTACGATTTGCACCACTACGGTTTGCTTGTACTGCTCTGCATTGCGCTGCAAGCGTTGGTTTGCATTGCCTTGTATGGTTGGGTATTGCTGTTCGTTGGCTTGCACGAAGTTGCATAGCGCTCATTTGCATGCAACGCTTGCTTAACATTGCTACGCCTGGCTGTGCATTTTAACAAGTTTATCTGCATTGCATTGATGTGGACTGCAACGCTTGCCTTACATTACTTCGTTGTGCACTGCACGGATCCTCATCCCTGCAAGAATTGACCCGTCGCTTGCTGCGGAATCGGAAAGGAGGTGTCTACATATAGATGGGAAGCGATGAGGACCTGCAGAAGGAGCAGGATGCGGATGCCCATGCGGCGGACGAGGATGAGGGTAAGGATTGGGAAGGAAAGGCAGGAGGAGCAGGAACAGCAGGGAAAGGCAGGAGGAAGGAGAGCGAGGAGAGTGGCAACGACGAGGAACGGGTCGGCTTCTGAACCATGCAGGCGCGGAGGCGAACGGCGAAAGCGATGCTCTGAACAACGTGAGCAGAGCATCGCTCCTAAAATGTGGCCATCGCCTCAGCGGAAACGCCACATTCGAAAGACCGAAGGAAAACGTTCGCCTCGTCAACAACACCCATCAGACACCACATATACAAATCCTGCACGTGAAAGCAATGCGCGATGGGGGGCGGAAGAGAGGAAGAGGGATAGAGAGAGAGAGAATAAAAAACACGAAGACAGAGAGAGAGAGGAGGCAAATAGAGAGAGAGAGACGGTAGAAAGAGAGGGGAGATAGTGAGGGAGAGACAGGGAGAGAGAGAGAGAGGGGCGCAGAGTCAGAGAAGAGGTAGAGAATGAGAGGGAGAGAGACAAGAGAAAAGAGGGAGAGAGAGAGATGGAGAGAGAGGGAGAGAGAACGAGCCAGAGAGAGAGAGAGCATGTCCGATGGCGGTGTGCCTTTTCACCATCGCATGACGCAAGGCTGCGCAGCCAGCTCCCCGGCCATGAGCGCAGGTGACCCGAGGAACCCCCTCTGCGGGAGGCAATCATAGCTGCACAGGGCGATCTACAGGCATCGGGAATTCACGGGGGCACAGGGGCTTCGAGAAATCAAAGGAGCACAGGGGGGGAGGAGAGAGAGAGCGAGCGAGAGAGACAGAGACCAGTCAACGCGCCCGCATGCGCGCATCACTCGGAACCCCGCTCGCCCGATACCTCCAAGCCCCCAGGAGAGCAGTGCTGATCCCGCAGCTGGTCCCGCCGACCAGATCGAATTGGCAGTGAACTGGCGCCCCAAATCGTCAAAAAAGTGGAACGGCAACCATTTCGTCCGCTAGCCTTTGAATCTGGTGAGCTTCTTGCGCGCGCGTAACCCGCAGGCTAATCCAAGATGTCAAGACATCCTCGTATCTGGAAGAGTCGGAGTCTTTGCAAATTCTCCGCGTCGCTGCCAATCAGCGAGGACAAAAGTCCAAATTCTGACCGGCACACCGTCGTCGAGCTTGGACTTCCGCGAAAGTCGCGGCCCCCCGCAGATCCGTCACGTTATCTTTGACCTCCACGCCCCACGCCCGCCTTCAGCACGCCCATCCGGCGGCGCGGGAGGAAAGCAGCATCCGCGGGGGGATCGTCCAGACTCAACCATGCCCCGCATGTCCTTGAGCACGTCCTCCAACGTGGACTTCATCGCCTCAACCAGGAGCTGGCCCATCGCACAGCGCACTTTCTGGCGACACGTGAAAATTTTCTCCCGGTGCACGTCGGCGAGCTCGGGGTCCGCGCGCGCCAGTTGGCGCCTCAAGTTCTCGACGCGCTGCTCCTTCGAGTCCTCCTCCTCCTCCTCCTCCTCCTCCTCCTTCTCCTCTTCCTCCCCATCCTCCTCCCCCTCCTCCTCAAGACGTTCGACCCACTGCGGCATGCGAGGACCGCGCTGGCCCCGGCCCCCATTCTATGGCCCAGGGGCCCGATGACCGCGCCAGCCGACACCAGAGCAGTCCCGGCCACGGCGAGCATCGCGGCGGTCGCGAGAATGCCCCTTGCTCCCCATGGGCGCCTGGCCAGCGGAGAAAGTGGAATCGCACCTTCTGAACCACAATACCCCACGGGAGATGGAAGGCAAAAGCTCTGAGCAATGGGGTCGGAAATGAAAGATAATGCCTGGAGGAAGCCAAAAGACCGACGTAAGTAAGCAGCCAGGCCAATCCAGGATCATTCGACTACCTTTCTCGGACACTGCCCCGCCTTGCCACTCACGGCTCAAAGCCTTAGACAGAAAAACGACGTCGGGTCCAACGATGTCTTCGATTCGAGCCACTGAACAGCGCAATCCTGGGGTCTAAGGTTGAAATGCCGACGAAAAGTTTCACGCCGTAAACGCCCATGGCAAACATTGGTGTACATTCTTGACAGTGCGACGGGTTTAGACTCAAAATGCCGCCCACGAAACAGCCCGCGCCAACGTCAAAGCCTCCAGTCGGTCGCTGCACAAAACGCGCGCGGAGAAAACGATCGGGGTCGCGCGCCGCATTTACCTCCTGCGCACACGGCAAGACACGAAAGCCCACGATGGACAGCCCCCAATCGGGTGACCTTGCAACTCGTAAGTGCAAACCACGAGGCTGGCAAAGCTCACCCGGCAGAAAGCACGCATTCCGCGGGCAACGTCCACACTGCCAAAGCGGAATCAGTCTCCTGAGCGCGCCGCGGAAACAAGCAAGAATTACTTCGACTGGTCTGGCACGCCGTGCGAGGACAGCACCGCCGGGCACAACGACCCCACAGACGAGCCGCCACTTGCCACGATTCCAAAACAGCCAAAGGTGAACATTGGCCGCGGACCTGGCCCGAGTCGTGCACGGTCATAATAAGACCGTGGTGTCTGCGCCCGCATCGAAGGGATGAGGGGGGGACTTCCGCCGATAAGGACGAACGCACAAAACGCACCTCGCCCGCAATCATGCCCATCTCGAAAACTTCGCTGCCGGCCTCAGACATCGAGATCATCGCCCCCGCAGCACGCCCAAGCGTCATGTAACCATAGCCACAGGGAACAGTCGACGAGCCAATCGCGCGCCTCACGCAGGAGTTTTTTCGGTTTGAAACAGATGCGGTCGCCATTCGACGCAGCGAAGTTGGCCTTGATCAGGGGGAACGCCGTCGTAATCTTCGCCAGACGCATCGGCGATGGCACCTGGCGACATCCCCGCAGCCATTGAGGAAGACCGATTTGGGTTCGCGCCCATAACCGCGACCGGGTCGCCTCCTCAGCAAGGTCTGGCCTGGGCCGCCAAGTAGGGTCTCGAAGGTCTGCTCGACATGGACAACGGGCCAGGTCGGGCCCATTCGCTCTCCAAGCTTGGTTTTGGTCTTTATCGTCTGAAACCAAGACCGCCGCGGAAGTGAACCACGCCGCCAGCGACCCAAAGGAGGAAGGCGGGCAAGGTGAACGAGCGTTCACAAACAACGTCACGATGCGCTCCATTCCCGACCGCTCCGAGGGAGCAGCCAGCACCCGTCTGACCGCGCCCGCGCGCGCCCGTCGAAAGTGGTTGCGCCATTGCGGATAGCCCGCTGATGAAGTCGCTGGTAAGATGACCACTTACAGATGGCCTGAATGCACTCGCCAGGTAGGTGGTGCGCCACGGGCCACTGGAGTAGTCGCCAGGGCCCTGGAACAGCACGGAGAAGCAGAAGAGGTAGAAGCACGGCACGCACTTCAAGTGGTTCAGGCAACGGCCGGACCTTGCACGCGTAGAATTACCCACTTGCGGACACCCTGTCTCTCCAAACCGGGACTTTCGAGAAACTGCGCACGATGCGGGGCTGCATCGACCGCCTCGCTTGTCGAACCTGGGTGCTAGATAGAGTCGCCGTCAGGCACGGCTTGAACAGATCCAGTCACGCATGCGTGGATCAAAAACCGAAATCTACAAACGCGGGGTAGCCGAGCGATGCCAGACACGATGGAGACAAGGAGAGGGCGAGAACTTACCAGTGGATGCCCGCCTCACAGCACGGTAAATAAAATCGCGAATTTCCTACACCAGCCACTTGGGAAGCCCCAGCCGTCTGCCATGACGGCCCAGCAAAAACAAGAATGAGTCAACGCGATCACTGTCGAGAAGGCGCAATGGCCCCAGTGCCCAAGCACTTGCAAGAGCATCGCGCCGGCGTTGGACACGCAGCACACTGCAGGGGGCGGACTCAGCCAGCACGCCTGGTTTGACACCTTCTGCTCTGTTATGTCCGATGCGTGTCGCACACGGCTCGCGCAACTCTACTCGCCCCAGTTCAGGAGAGGGGGAATAATCAGAACTAAACTCTGCCGCCAAAGCTTCGGCTACGAACGCAGATTGCAACCGGCCCAGCAACCTACCTGCTCGGAATAACCGTTCTCTCTCGCAAGAAGGATAGCATGCAACGAGCGCCGCCCCCGCCGCTGAGTCGCCTTCGCCCGGCCGGGCCCCGTCGAAGGCGGCTGAATTTGATCTGGGAGAATGCCTCCACGGCTCTGCGAACGTTGTCGTCACGATCGCATGCCCAAGTGGCGCCGCGATCCAGGGCCCGGTTCGCTGCGCCGTCCGCCAATCCATTGAAGTCGAGCGAGTCCCACTCCACGCGCGCACTTACCTGTGTCCTCGGCACCATTGAACTGTCGCGCACCCGCAACAAGAGTCTGGATATTCCCACAAACAGATGCCTCATCCGATCACCCCGCAAATATGACTGGTCACCCGGAATTCCAGCAAGTCGCTGGTCATCGGTCTGAACCCACACTCTCCGGCCAAAAACTGCCCACCGCTGTTCCCGCGGGTTGGGCTTCAGAAGGTTCGCCGGGTCAATGGGGAGCTCCGCCGCGCGCGGAGGCGGAGACGGCGCGGCGCTGGCTTCGACCCCAGGGAGCCCCCATAGTTCCCGGGGCGCCCCAAAGAAGCCATGGAACTCTACCCGCCCACTCCCGCTGGGAGACGCAACCACCCCTGACCGCCCGCCAACCTTGTCCACTGAGCTCGCCCCAGACAGCGGCGACTTGGATATTGCCACGCCTTGGTTGGTTGGCCGGATCGCGAACGCGCCGATCCCGAGCGCCGTCGTTTCGCCTGTGCTGCCAGCGCCCGGGCGCCATGCCTCCAGCGCAGCGACCGGTACTCCCGCGCAAACTTCACAAGGCACTCTCTAGAATCCGAACGCCGCTCCGTCATGGCACGCGCCTCTCGGTGCACTATCCTGACGGCCCTGTCACAGATGAAAGTCAAGGCCCGCGCGCGCGAACCAATGGGAGAGCCCGCCAGCCGCGCGCGCGTCGATTAGCGCGGCGGTTTCTCCGGAACGCCAGCGCACGTGGATCGCGCGGCGCAACGTCTGGAGCTCCCACGCCCCCATCTTCCGCAGGAATCCAGGTGACCAATTCCCCGTCTCTGCGCCGCGCAATACGCTCGCCGCCGGGCCGCCCACCCAAGCGCGCAAGCGCTTGGTGACGGGCGCACGCCGACTCTGCAAGACTGCCCGACGACGGAAATAACACCATTTTTTGCCCGCCACAGGTCGTAGTCCACGCTGTCGCTGGCGCTGCCGTCTGACCTTGCACGGACGAACGACACACCCCTGAACCACGCCCACGCCTTCCGCCGCCTTGTCTCTCACAAGACCAAGTATAGCGCGCAGATCATGATTCATCAAAGCGACGAGTCACGTGGATCACCACTTCCGGACTGCAAAGACAACGACGCCGTCTGCCCAGATCGCGCGCGACATCGACGGGCCAGAATCATCGACCCCCTCGTCGGGGAAGCGCAAGCCGAGGCCCAGATTTGCCCAGGCCTGGACAAGAGGTTCAAGTACGTATTCAAGCATCGCTCGCCATTCGTCTGGATTATCTCCCCCCCCCCCGTCTTCCCAAGCTGAATGGAAAACGGGCGGTCTCACCAGCCACGCGGAGTGTCATCGCGGCTTCCCAGTCGCTGAGTTCCTGCGCGCGCAGAAAGCGCAGAAAGCCCCGGCTTTCGCAGCGACAAAGATATAAGCTCATGCGGCATCGAGTCGAAAGCTGACAGTACGTCTTGACAAATAGCCACCGATGGCAGTTTCCAGGCATCAGCTGCGTGCCATATTTCTCGCGCGAGCCCCATCAACTTCGCGGTGGCAGCCCCTGGCCGGAAGCCGCGGGAGCGAACGCTGCCTGGCCAGAGGTGCCCGTGGAGCCGTGGACGTAGGGCGCTGGCATACATCTTGCGCAAGACTGCCAACTTACATCAGCGAAGCTACTCATAAGCTTGTTCTTCGGTAGGCTGGCACTTGAAGCACCTTCCAAAATGGCAAGCGCAACGAAGATAGATCCAGAGACGTAAACCGTTGATGAGGCACTCGGACATGCAGAAATCTCAAGAACGGCATCATGCGGTATACGCATGGTGTCACCCCATCAACTCCTGGAGCGCCTCCCTTTCGCAAGCTCGCCCTCGCTTGCAATGCGTCCCACAATTCGAGCTCTTCGGGTGGTCTGCCATCCAATCGATCACTCCTGCGATGTTGCGAAGGCCGCGAAGTCTCTCTCTCTCTCTCTGTCGTGGTGGAGGATTGTCTGTGTGGCCCTTCGGACCCACTCCGCCCTGCCGTCAGTCCATGCGCCGTCAATCACGAAAGCCGTTGTCAGATCGATTCCTTTCGCACCGCGCTTGGACAGACATTGAAGCTGACGAACTACCTTCAATTTCCCACTCGCCCTACGATGGGCCCACAACTCCTTGAGCAACATTGTCCGGCGATCTGGGTCCGTCTCGATCCGAAAACGGGGCCGGAGAGACTCGATGTGCGACCGGCGCGATTGCATACGATCTTCCGGCTGCAACGCGCAAGGCAAAAAAAAAGCTCTACAGGTAAAAAAGTTGTTTTTTGCCTGTGGCGTTTTTTTTTGCCTTGCGCGTCGGGTCCCCGGGGCACTGGCCGGGGCGCGCGCGCCGGGCGGGGGGGTGCTCCTCCGCTTCCCTCGGCCTGGCTCACAAAAGGAATCGCGACCAGGGTTTTTGCCTGTGGCGCTCCTGGGGCCCAAAGAAGGAATCGCGACCTGGGTTTTTGCCTGTGGCGCTTTTTTTTTGCCTTGCGCGTCGGGCCTCCGGGTCTTGCCGAGAGCGCGCGCGTGTAGAGG